ACATAACCAACTACATACGCAACATATGCCTAGACATATGGCAAAAAGAATGGGATACCTCTACAACAGGAAGAACGACATACAAATTTCTCCCCTCGATTAGCAAGAGACAAACCTACGGCTACCTTCAACCTTCATACACCTTGACTCAGTGCTTTACCGGACACGGGAATTTTCCCACCTACCTAAATAGGATTGGGAAAAGGGACAACGGCTTCTGCACCTGCGATGATGCCAGTCAGGGGGATGTCATCAATATCCTCATTGACTGTCCCTTATACAACAATATAAGGGATCATCTAATAGGTTACACCATACACCATGGACAGAACTGGCCACCAAGCCTAGACTTTTTCTGTAAATCAAAAGAAAACCTAAAACACTTAGAAGATTTTATTAGAAACTGCCCATTGTTCAACTTGAGCAGTCACCTTTCAACTTCTGGAAGCTAGACATATTCGCTTTCTACGGCAGCCACCTGTGCATCCTGGACGCAATAATCATCACCATCATCGAAGACAGGGCACCCAGCAGCAGCTGCAACACAACCATCGTCAACTACTGCCAAGGCTACCACCCTGGAAGCCAAGATACATCAAGACATGTCTGTAGAAATTCGCGTAAAATGAAATGTAAGGACGAAATAACGTATGTTCTAAGCACCCAGTAGGTGCATTTTTCTGTAGTTTTAGGGAGCACTCATAGCGTCCCATCATCGAAATCATCCAAGCCTAAATGGCTAACTGTAAATAAAGTATACCTTTGTATTATATTAGAAAATAAATGAGGGCATGACGCAACCATGAGAACCCACATCCTTCCTTCCAATCTGTAAACCTATCAAATCCCAACTCCCCACTAACTCATCCTAATCTATTCCATTCCTATTCTATCTTACTCCTACCCCTCCCACAACCCGCCAATTAATCAATCTTCTAATACACCTATCCTCTCCCTACCTCAACCCCTCTTCTACACACAGGCTAAGTCTTCGGACAGCCAGTTATCTTTACTCTAATAGGGGCTGGTCGTACCACAAAAATATGGTAATAATGGAATTCAATACTTAAAATTTAAATTAAACAATAAAAACTGGGCATAACTTTAAAACAGACCAAGAATATTGACAAAATTGTTAAATGTCAACTTTGACATATTTAACAATTTTGTCAATATTCTTGGTCTATTTTAAACTGTCAACTTTGACATAGTTTTTTTTTTTTGCCAACTTAAATTTAATTTTTAATTCAATGGGCACTAAGAGAGTCTTTTTTAGCAAGCCCGACATGGATTCAGCCTGGTCCACAATAGGGTATCTGGGTTTTTTTTTTTAGCGGCCTCTATACACTCTTTGACGGTGAATAGTTTCTCTTTTATTCCTTCTTCTAGCTCCATGATGATGTCTCGAGACTTATCCATTCTACTCTTTAGGTATTAATTTATTGGATTGAGTTTAATTTTATTTATATACTATTCCTACTATTATTTATATACTATTCCTACTGTATTATTTTAAAACTTTACCTAACCCAGGCACCAGAATGAATAAAAACAGTTCCTCACAAAAACAGCAACACGTCTTAACAGAACACACTCCTGAACTGGAATGGTAAAGCAGGGCATAGAAGAGACTAGATTTTAAACAAAGGAACTGGTTTCTATTGTTTACAGGCAGGACAGAAATTGCCTAATGGAGAGGAAATACTATATTAAGTTATTAAGATGGATTATTATTTAAATGAATTATATTTGTGTTTTATATATGAATAAATAGATTATTTTGGACTTTTACATTTATTTTATCATCATTATCATTATTTTCATTTTTGTTTTNATAAAAACAGTTCCTCACAAAAACAGCAAAACATCTTAACAGTACACACTCCTGAACTGGAATCTAGGGTATCTGGGTGAAGAGGGACAGGGCCTAACATATCCAGATTACTCCCCAAAAAGTTCCTATGGTTTTCTGACCCATCCAGATTCATTCTGGATCTCTCAACCATTCAACTGTTGATACAAACTTTTATTAAGTGGAATCTGTTCTTTGCTCATTAGTTATCATGTATTAATGTCCCAATATGGTATTTGAAGACTTAATCTTATAGAAAGACTTTGATTAGATTTTTGATATTTTCTTCTATTTGAAAATCAATGTTTTTATCTTGAACATGTTGAATTACTTATATATGTTGCAGCTGGATTGTTAATTCAGCGATTTTACAAAACGTCTAGCTGTTTGATTACATGGTGTCATTTTGTAATAAAGCTAACTAACATTCAGCTGGATTGTTGTTACGTTGCAATGTGGCTGGCTACATTTATCCATATTGTCAAGAGGCAGAAATCTCAGGCTTTTTACTAAAATATGAATTATTTACTAAGATTAGGGACAAAAATATTAGGAAATAAAAAATATATATGTTGCATAATCAAAATTATTTATTTATAAACTTGAAAATTATAAAAAAAGTACAGTATTTGACTTACTTCCTGCTTATAGGAAATAATATAATTTATAGTAACTAATCAACTTAACTGTTCATTGGTCATTTAAAATCTTTAAAAACATGTATTGCTATTAAGATATTATGCATTATGCATGTATTCTTAATGTTTAGATACTTTACTATAATTAAGAATAACTTTTGTAAAATCGCGACATAAATAAAGATAGGTAGTTTGACATACCAAACAATACAACATTAAATAATAAAAATGAGAAAATACTTTAAAACTGTTAAATTTCTCCAATAGTTAAAAAATAATAGTAAACATATCAAATAGATGTATTATTTTATTAATGCAAGATAAACTAAACTGACATTTAGATCCACAAAGAACATTCTTTTTAAAACATGCGCATCTATTAGTATGGCACCGATTTTTCACAGGTTTGCATGAGCATTTTTCAAATCCTTGACCACCAAATAATGATTGGTTAGTCATGGTTTCTGGCAGATATTGATTGATCTTTCTGGTATTTCATCATTATAATCATTCAATGACTTATAATTTGTAACAACAGAACCAATTTTCAATTATTCTTGTGCAGTCCCTACCATGTAAACTCCATTTCTGAAATCAATAATTTTTCCCATAATGTTTTGGTATATTAAGAAAATACTTTTTCCAGTATCTAATAGGAGATATCTAATGTCCAGTGTATAATAGTTATCTAATATCCAGTTTCTTAGCAGTATCATCAACCATCTTCTCTGCAGCCTGTTTAACTCCTTTATGTGCTTCTTCTCTTTCAATTTGTACTGTATATTATGCTCTCCTTTGCATATGAAACAAATCATCTCTGACCAATAACCTTTATTGCTTTTTAGACGATTTGCAAATATCATGAACAGATATAAAGCAGGAACTACAGTGATGAGATTTATCACCTGATCTAATCTGTCCAGTGGAGAGATTAGATCAGGTGATAAATTTCCATTACTTTCTGTAGTTATTGTGTTATGAAAGATATTTTCACTAACCAAATTATCAGATGTCTGTTGTGAAATATCATATTGAATGTTTTCTATATATTTTACAACTTTTTGATCATTGTTGGCAAAGAATGCAATGAATTAAGCAACAAATGATCTTGCCAACATGCCAACATAAACTATAAAAATCAATTTTTTAATGTAATAATCTTAATAGCTGCTAAAACGAATTATCAAACCACAATTAAATTTGAAAGTTGAATAAGATTTCTTTAAATCTGAGAATGCTTTCCCATTTTACTACAAAATTATTTCTAAAGGTGACACAAATAGAGATAAGTATTGCTGTTCTAGACAGAAACAAACGATGAAATAATTTATGTAGCCAAGTCAAATTTTTGTAGCCCAAAAAGTAGGCAATGTGCCAAATGATTTTTCTACATCAAACTAAAACAAGAGTAGCTCATTTTGGCAGTCAAATCTGGCAACCTTCCTTAATGCTCAAGTGGTAAGAATTGGAAGTCAATATGGCAATCTGGCTGTTTATCTAACGTTCATTGTAAAGCGGCTAATCGTTTGGCCAGCCATATTATAAAATATTAAATGTTGACAGCCATTTGGTTTAGTCTCTTTATAAAGTGGCTGAATGTTAGTTAGCTTTATTACAAAATTGTGCTGTTTAATCAAACATCTAGACGCTTTTTAAAGTGGCTAATTTAACAATTTGGCTGCAACATATATATATAAATCTATGTTATGAATAATCATAAAATTGTTTATAATGTTCAAAAGTAAGTAGATTCCAGTTCAGTAAAAAATTACAATGTTTTTTACTGGAAAACTAAGGAAGTAGCTCAAATATAAAACCAGTTCATACAGTTTTTTTTTTTTTTTGGAATCAAAATGTTACTGTAAATTGAAGTACTTTCAAGCTTCTTTTCAGCCAACTTAAGCATTTTAAGCTATATGCTTATCATCAGGAGTTGATAGTCAAGAATCAATTCCTGATGATAAGAATATAGCTAAAAATGCTTAAGTTTACTGAAAAGTGTTTCCTCTGAGAAAATGCCATTTGAATTAAATTAGCTGAGAATTTATAATTGAAAACTATCATTCAGAAATAACTATTATAGTAAAATAATTTTATATCTTCTCTGCTTTAGAACCTACTCTGATTTTTAGTCATCTAGGAGTAGTATTATATAGTTAAAACCATATTTTCAGGAATATAATTTGAATTTAAGACAATGAACTTTTAGGAAATAGGATAGTTTAATTAACTGTGTTCTGTAAAACCAATATTAAACTATAAAAGAGTTCTATCAGAACAGACTGACTATATTTTCAATTTTTAAGGCTTGAATACATAAACTTCATTAAAAAAAACTGTCTTAATAATTGTAAACTTACTAAAATGTAAATTTATCCCTGGATACGACTATATTTGAAATGTATCAATATATTTTCATGTTGAGAAAGTGATCGTTTTAATCCAATTTATTAAATTTAGTGATTATTTTTTCAAAAATTCAATAATTTTATATTTAATTATATTTATAGGTTAAAAAAGACAGAATTTTACTTAAACATATCAGCTGAGATGACTTCAACTACTAGAAACAGGAGTAAGAAAGCATTAAATTTATCTGAAATTTCTGAAAATAACCAGAGTAATCTGCTTGCTCACGATGCAAATACGTATGGAAATCACATTATGAGATCTACTAAAACTTACAATTCAACTAACGTCAAAAATCTAGAATCAAACAATTGTAATAAGTTTCAGTCTAGGAAGAAATATATAACAAGACAACAATCTAGATTGAATAATGTGGAAAATGAGGAAATTATTTCTAATGACAAGAAGACAGCAGTTTATGGTAAACACAAAAATTACCATCATTCAAAAAATAATGAGAGTATTACAAAAGGAGAAACTAAATTTGAAAATGAGGAGGATTGGAAGGACACAATTAATCAAGATGATTCTTTTCTTATTTCTGCCAAAGACAAGAATCTTTTGAGCAGTTCCAAAAGCTGGAAAGTTCCAAACTGTGATTTTCGTAGTGGAGTTAATAAAAAAGTCACAGGAGCTGGAATTTTTGATTGCAGCATTCAACTTTTTATGGAAGAAAAAAGCTATTGTTTTGGGAATGATAAAAGTAAAGACTATTCAGATGAAAGTGGTATTTGGTTAGAAAAAATGAGTTCGTTTGAGGTGAGTAGTGATAAATTTTATATATATTAATAACTCTTATCATCCTATGTGTACTAGGAGGAGTTTCTTTATGCTTATTATGTATATCAACAGTAGGGGTATTTATGATGAAATGTTTTTCTTGCTTTTAGAAGAGCTGTTCTACAAAAGGTATTAGGGGCAGTCAAATAAAAACGAGACAGACTATATAACAAGTGTGGCATGGAAGTTGGTAATGTGTATACAGAAGTGTCCTCTATTGGAAATCAGGAAGGAACAGTGTGAACGTTCACTGCTGTGCCATTTGTCTGTTAGACATGCTCGAAGTGAGGTGGGCGAGTCATGTGTGCGTCCAACATCACTATGGTGGTCCTCTGCTTGTTGACTTTCTGGAACACAGTGCCACAATTAATGCACAGCGGTACATAGAAACTTTGCAAAAATTGAAGCGTGCCATCAAATCCAAACACCCAGTAATGTTGACAGACAGCATCATTCTGTTGCAGGATAATACCCACCCACATGTTACCAAGGTTGTTTTGACTATGTAGTCAAAACAACATTGGTTACATGTAGCGTAGTCCATACACATCCTCCATACAGTCCTGATTTCTCCCCGTGCAATTTCCATATTTTTGGAGCTCCGAAGAAAGACATTCATGGCCGTCAATTTGCTTCGGACAAAAAGGTGCATGCCTGGGTACAATCATAGTTCCGTAGGCAACTGCAAACATGTTTCTATGAAGGCATTGACTGTCTTGTCTCACAGTGGGATAAATGTATTAACAGTTATGGCAATTACTTTTGAAATAATAAACAGTTACTTTTTTCCCATCTGTCTCATTTTCATTTGACTGCCCCTAATATGAAATATGAATGGACATTTATACAGAATGATTTGCAATCCTAATTTATCCTTTGGATCACTGTATTGGTTAGCATCATCTTTTCAGAGGCATTCTTTCAACCATTTTATAAATCACAAAATGAATGATTCCTCTGTTGGCAAAATTCAGTAATTCGTGAACTTTGCTTCGAGGAAGCTTTCAACTTTTTGCATACAGTCTGTACTAACAAAAAACAAAATTGGAAAAATCAATACTTTGATGACTGTTAAGAAAGCTGGTATAGTGATAAAAGCTACAAATCATGAATACCTCTAATAGTGACTGTGTGGTGAGGGACGAGGCCTGATATATTATGTTCAAACCATTCACAAAAATTTCTGTTCAAGAAGAAAGATATTGCAAAGCAGTCTTGAAGAACTGAATCTTTGTTTTTGTTTTGAGTGTTTGTTTACAGGAATTATTTTTTACTATCTATATGAATTAAGTAGATAAGAAGAATTAATTTACTTAATATAATCTTCGTAATATTTTTTTAAGGTATGGCAAAGTAGAATATGATAGAAAACAATTTTATACTTTTAAATTAATCTAAATAAAGGTAGTTTGATGATATAGATGAGCTAAATGAGGTAAACGATGCATTGCCCATTAAAGTGACTTTAATAACTTAGTCAGATAAACAAGTCAATGACATAGCTAGTTTCATTTGAAGCAAACTAAGTCAATGGTTTGCTTATTTAGTTATATTAAAGCTGCTTTACTAGTCAACATGCCCAAAAATGATTTTAAAATTTGGTGTTTTTATTTTATAATGAATTTTAATATACAGTATCTTATTTTATTGCTCTGATATATTCAAAAAATTTCTCTTTTTAGTATTCTGTGTCTTTTATATTTGTGCTGAATGTGACTAATCACTACATTTAGTATCATTTGTTTCAGGAGAAATCTTAAATGATGTGAGTTTGGATTTTATATAGAACCAAATTGTATTTTTCTTTCTGGATTTCTCAGTTTTTGTTATATATAATTAAGTTTTATATTTTTGATTTGTTTAAAAAAATCTATTAGTTAAGCAAGTAATTCTAATAAATTGTGTTGTTATTTTTAAATTCAGAATTTTATTTTAATTTGTATAATTTTATAGGAGTGTGATTCTCTGGAGATGAAAGATTCCTGCCAGCAATTGAGAGAGAAACTCTATTCTCTTATTGAAAGATTAAAGATCCATTGTCATCATAATGAAAAATATTCAATGTAAGAATTTGAATTGTTTCTATATTCTGAAAAGAAATTGAATTTTAGCATTTAAATTATGTTTTTGCCTTTTTTTAATGTAATATATTCTCAAACTTTAAAAAAAACTTCAACTTTTGATACATGTTTTATTAGCGTTAAGTGAAGACTCCTTAACTTCAGAAACCCCACAGTCGTGTGACGTGATAACTAAAAAGTTACACAACCAAAATTCGTGAAATTTCAGAATAACTTATTTGTATATATGAAATCAGCTATATAGTTTTTGTTAGAAATCAATCAAGGGGTTATAATACATGCTTAGTTCTTAAACCAATAGATTGCTTTTTTTACACTTGTACTTGTTATTTAATGTAAGAAAGCCTGTAGTTTGTTTCCATTTCCTTCAGATATGCTTCTATTTGTTTATCCACATTCTCTAAAAATTCTTGTTTATGAATTTCTTTTGAGTCATTTTAATTTCCTATTGTTTCTTTGTGAATTTCTTTTTCTGGATTTTGGTTTTAAAGTGTTTACCTATCTTCATACTCTATAGGAAAGTATCATATCAAGGAATAAACTTAGTGTAAAGATAAATTGTTAATTATTCTGTGTTTGCTTTGTTTTTAAAAAATAAAGATGCTTAGAATGAAAAAAATCTGCTAAGATAAGAGCCATTGAAACAAAAACAAACAAAAAGAAAAGTAAAGTCAAGTAGTAGTGAGGCTGATTTTGTGCTAAAATAGTGTTTTTCAACCTTCTTTATCTCATGGCACACTTGAACCTATAATTAAATTTTTGTGACACAAATTTCCATTGAAAAATCAAGTTGTGTTTGTAAACATTTTATCGTCACATTAGTTGCCACTTAATATAATTCTTTTTGTCTATTTTTTTTCTTTCTTTTGTGAATTAAATAAAAGTGCTGTTCCTTAACCTAGTGTTATACACACATACTTTTGCTTATGAATATATATTTTTTACTGCATTGTGTAGTGTATATGTTTATTTATTATAACAATGAAAAGCTCATATAATCAATTTAAAGAGTTTTTAATTTTGACACTTATTGTTCTTTGAGCTTCTTTTGAAAATAATTTATTTAAGAATCTTCAAAACTTTTTGCAGCACACCAGTTGAAAATCACTGTGCTAGAATTTAAAAAACAGGCTTTGGAAAAAGCATAGTAAGTAAGACCATAGTAAAATTGGTAAGCAAAACTATAGGGAACAATAGTATCCACTAGGTGCTGTAGTCATGAACATGAATGGAAAAACAATTCAGTTTTATAAGAATTCCAGTTTGTTCTTTTAAAGAATTAGGAGGAGAGTTGCTTCAGAACTTTCAGGTTGCATTAAGTAATATTTTTGATGAATATTTTATAATCAGGTCAAAACTAATGTCAAAAATTCACAACAGATGCTGTGAAACAAAGAGGAACAAACATGAGCCATTTGAAGACGTGTTTGTTACTTCTTTGGAGATATCTGACAGTTGTCTCACATGAAAGATATACCTTTCTTTGTAAACTCTAAAGAGAACTTTTCTTCTTGAGGACAAACTTAGTACGTTACAAAAACATTTCAATTAACTATATCTATGAGTCAAGATACAAGCCAAGAACTGTTTAGAAATATATTAATGTTGCAATCAGTAAACTGAAGCAGCAAGAATGGGAGGCATTAATGACAAGAAAGGAGGCAATTTTATCTCCATTAGATATAGAAAACTTTAAAGATTCCAAAAGGTTATTTCCTATGAATGAAATGGTTACTTTGTGTAACAAATCATTCCTTGTGCAAAGTAATAGACCAGTTGCAAAAATTTCAGCAGAACGTAATAGCATTTTTGCAAAAAAAGCCATCAGATGAACAAGCTCAAGACTTGCAATCAGTGTTATACCTATCTATTGGTTGTTGCTTAATACTGAGAAAAAATCTATGGGTCAATGCTGGCCTAGTAAATGAATCTGTTGAAACAGTTGTCAACATTTTATACAGAGAAGGAAGGAGATTGATTCCCTTTGTTACCAATGGCAATAATGGTAAAATCCAATAAGTATATGTGACAAACTATAAGAAATGGAGCATTTCCCATTCTTCCTATGCAAACAAAATGGAAGGATAACATTGTGGAATGCATGAGAAGACAGTTTCCAATCTTGGATTCATATTCATTGACCATACAAAGATCAAGAACTAACATTGGAAAAAGAAGTAATTGACATAAGAGAAAAATAAAATGTTGCTGAACTATCATATGTAGCTCTAAGCAGTGTGTGAAAACTAGAAGATATAATGAAAGATCCATCTTTTTAATATTAATAGAATAAATAAAATTAAAACTATGAAACAAGTACTAGAAAGAGAACATTTTTTGAATAGTATAATGTATAATCAATAAATAAACAATTTTTTAAATTTATATATTTAGATTCAGAATTTTATACTTTAACACACATACTCAGACTTAAATGTCTCACATTCATCCAATAATACTGCATTATCTCAAAGTGGGCACCTACATACTTTTGCCAGTACCTAGCATTTCAGCAACTCCCAGTACTTGTCAAACCAGTCGTATGGCTTTAGTTGCTGTAGCTTATACTCTGTTGCATATTGGAATCTGCATCCCTTGAACTTCATTTTATTTTAGGGAATAGATGAAAGTCTGCAGAACAAAATCAAGAAAGTAAAGTGATCAGGAAAGTTTGGTCATATATTCACAGTTCAGGAATGAATAGAAGCTACAGCAACTAGAGTTCTTACAGAAATTATAAAAATTGGCTTCTGGTATTGTTTTGATAAATATATTGATGCTGGTAACAAATGAAATACAAACTAAATAGAACTGCTTTGACAAATGCTGTATATCACTTCTGTTCAGTTTATTTTTGACTCTATCAATTATATGCCATATATAAAGTATATATTTTCTATACAATATTTGTAATTAGAAGGCAAACACAAGTTCTGAAATGTTTGCAATTTATTTTTTTTACATTACCACAAAACTATGATCTTGAAATTTATTGTGTAATTCTTCTGTGTTTGTGTGTGAAAAGGATGAATTGTAAAGGCCAAAATTTGTGTTTATCTTCTAATTATAAACATTTTCTGGCGTATATTAAGGATTTTACAGTTTAATTTCAGCAACTTACACTTTTGTGTAATGAAAAATGATCTAAATATTGTCAAAACTTGAAGATATTCTGATATAAATATTTCTAAGTTTGGAGCATCATGCAGAAACTGTCACTGAAATTCTTTCAATCTACAGAAACAATTTCATTATTTATTACTAAGCATTCTAGATGTAAAATACAAAAACACTTTAAAAATCAATTACAAGCTACACTTTCTTCTCCTAAACTTTTGAATAATGCAATTCTTCCAGTTAAGCATTATTAATATGACCAATTTCTTTCATAATGCAGCCTTTCAATTAAACCCTTTCCAATTCACAGTAACTTTTTGGACACCCTGTACTATCTACCTAACTTACAGATCTTTCTAATACTAAATATGGTATGTAATTATGTGTCTTCTGGAAAAATACAATTGATTTCTTTAAGAAATACAGACAATTCATTTTATCAAGATATGAAACTTATTGTAATGATCTATTGAGATTTTTCTTTTTCAGTTAGTTAATTTAAATTTACAAATAATATGAGGGTCATTCTAAAAGAAAAGAACATTTTGATCTGACAAGCTGTTCAGTTCTCCCACCACCCTCAACTGCCACGTCATGAACCTTCCCATGTTTTCGCGCCAGTCTGATGCTAACAGGTAGCCACAGCAAGCCACAACAATCATTTACTGTTTACAGTGTGACTTTGAAATGTGTGATAAAATTAAAGATTCCGCCAAGTATGAGGTTCATAGTGTAATATGCTTTTTGAATGCGAAAAAAGTCCACCCTATCGAAATTTACAGATAGATAACCGAGGTTTATGGTAATGTGATGAATGAAGCTTCAGTTTGAAACAAACGGTAGGGATTGTTGTCCAGAGGCATTGTGCTTCTTCAGGATAACGCACATCTGCATGCTGCTGCATTGACGAAGAACTTGCTTCAGCAGTTTAAGTGGGAAGTTTTTGAACACCCTTCTTATAACTCTGACTAGGCTCCAAATGATTACATCTTTTCCCAAAACTGAAGGATTTTTTAGCCGGGAATCACTATGGAAGTGACAATGAACTGAAAGAGGCCATTAATGACTAGTTCAAGAACTTGGTAGTAACTGAGTGTGCAGAAGGCATAGAAAAGCTGATGATATGTTATGACAAATGTTTAAATTTGTATGGCGACTATGTAGAAATATAGCTAAGGTATCATATGTGTTGTAAAATAAGTTTTGTTTCATTATCTTAAATAAAAGTATCTGGAGAAACAAACGTTCTTTACTTTTAGAATGACTCTCGTATATCAAATTGTATAATAATTGCATATATATTTTTTTAATTGTTTGATGAAGTATAAGATTATAATTATTTTGAATTTATTTACAAAAATATATTCAATAATCATAATAACTACAATTGAATCTCCGTATTCATAGGCAATTGTACTTACAAATTTGTGCTTTTGTGGTGGATATCACAAGATGTATCATACTAAAAATTTGATTGCTGCTCATTGCATTTACTCTGAGTGATGATGGGGTAGATGCATCTTCATTCTCACAATGAGCTTCATCTCATAGGATATCTTGTGATCTTTGTTTTGTATCTGCCTGATGAATGCATTGGTGTATGCCTTATTCTTAACTATATAACAAAACTGTACAGTATTTTCAGAAAGTTGGGCTTAAATTTTTAATGTTACTCATTGTAAAACACAACAAACACAAAGTGTTATAATTGTTTATAACACTTTCAAACATATTTAAACATTTTTCTCTTAATTATAAATGGTTGCATAAGTGTTAAGTGTATACAGACATAACTTTACTTAGTTAAGGAAGATGAAAACTTTTCAGTTTTATATCTTTATCTTTATTTATTCAAAAAAAAAAAACAATTATAATTAAAAATGTCTTACTATTATAGCTTTTGATTTCTAGAATAAAGAATTTCTGTGGTGCAAATCTTTGTAAACCTTTATAATAATTATAGATTGTCTGTTAAGAATTAGTTTTGCTAAATATTATGTAAAATATGTATTTATTGTGAGATATTTACATATTTAATGTATATTTACAGATTAATAGAAATAATATATTGTTGTACAGAAAAATTATTTAGTTCTGTTTCTGAAGAAATTGTCCCTGAAATTATATCTACAATAAGAGAAATGGATCTAGATTCTGTAAGTTGATTTATTTTTATTATTAGGAATAATTATATGTTAACATGTTATTTATTTTCATATTATTAAATAAAGCAGAACAGATTTTTAAATCTTTTTATTAGCAAATTGTCATGACTTAATATTTTATATGCTATACAGTAACATACAAATTTTTAAGTTGTTTGCTGTATTTGACTCAGAACTACAGGCTGGCACACGAAAAAATAGACCCAGTATGTAACTTAGCAGAAACATAGTTTACTACAATAATAAACATAGAAGCAGACTGCTGGTATCACTGTCACAGAAGTTGAAAGTGATCACTTGGCACAACATTGCGATATTTGATAATGACATCTGAGAGGTTGATGTTCCTCATTTCCTGTAATTTGTATGGATTTGCACAATATGGGGCATCAATATTCCTGATACCTCTCAGATGATGAGGTTTGCTCACTCCACACAATATACTAGAACCAGAGAGTCAAACTGGACTGAGACTATTTTTTCATGCATCACTCTGCATTTCTCCTAAATCATTATTAGTAGCAATTTAAGTGGAATTACTGCAGTGGATTCTTCATTCTGATATCTTTTACTATTCAGGGTTCCATCAGTGAATACATGATCTTATTGGTCATGTATTCACTGATGCTTGCTCCAAATTCCACAACAAAAATTTAGGGTAAAATGTACTTGATGTTGCATGTATCAAGAAGTATGCTCTGCCCATTGATGCACATTGTTATGGTTACTTACACTATTCTGGGAAAACAATGCCTTATTGATCTATAAAATGTACTGAAGGAGTGGTTTGTCATGTTGTAAATTTAACATCATGTTACACCACTCAAATTGCTGTGCAGCATCCTATGTACCTTGTGCTGATTGCAGATAGCAACAGAATGGGTCCATATCATTACAACATATCAAGTGTATTTGTATCTGTTGCAATCCACATAGACCTTCTACTTCATCTATGCTTGAATGTGGATTATTATTTTAGCACTACTATGCACCACATATATAAACTCATGCAATGCTGGAAAGATCTCTTTTGCCCTTGTACAGATGTTTAAGCAGACATCATGTATACATATCCATTGTACATTAATTTCACATTCTACTTTATTGAGATTAATGTCAGTAAGTTTCCTTTCACTATGAAGTAATATTACTCATAGTTTCATTCTCAAATTGAATCTCTTAATGATGATTTAATAAGTTAAAAAGAAATAATGAATTTGCTTTCAATTTATTGTTAATAAATTAATCATATTGCATTTAACAAAATATCTTTTTCATTTAATTATTGCATTAAAATTATGGAATTTGATACTCTAGAACAAGAATGGCAAACTTATGAGTCTATGTGCCAAAGTAAATGTTTGGACATGTGTGTCATGGATTTGCCATCTCTGTGTTAGAGCTTAGCTTTTATTTGATGTTTGGAATAGAAAGTGTATATACAAGGTATCCCGTAAGTCTGAAATCAAAGAGTTATATTCCTTTTGTTTATTCTTTTTCAGGTAATGTGTAGTACTGAATAAGGAGAAAAAGTTCCACGTTATCTTTGTTGGAACTCATAGTCAGTATTGAAGTTACCAAAGAGTTTAACATGTATCCAGACTGCTGTGTGTGATTGGTGGGTAATCTGGGTGCATCCAGTTAAACTTTTTGACAAGTTTACACTGACTGTGGATCTCCATGAAAATAACTCAAATTCATTCCTTCATATTCGGAGACATGAATACCAGTAAGAGAGTAAGCAAAGATCAACATTTTTTTGCTGTTCCAGATTTGTGGGATGCCTTGTATGTTTGTTTGCATGTGCCATTTATATAAATTTACATCTCTCTCGGCATTGTTTTTCATGAATACATCTTTAGCTTCTAGTATTGCTTCTTATCTCTTCTGACTCCTCTTGTAGGTTTTTGTGTAAGCTTACTTGGTGCTTTTGTTTGCCATTATTACAGTATCGTATTTGGAATTGTGTAAATGTTGGAAAAGTAGTTTCAAATGAAACAATACATATTGATATGTATTTAGAAATATTTTTCTGAATGTTCCATCTCATTTATTTCATCTAATAATAATTCTGAATGTATTTAGAAGTTTTCTTTAAAAAATAGAAATATATCATTGTTAAATATTGATCCACGTCCACAATCTTTCTGTATTTGTTTAATTATTTATAACAATTTAACCAATATTTTTCTGAAACTAATTTCATATTTTGTATACATTTATTATTTTATTTATAAGATTATTTAGGTTCAGATAAAACTAAANGTTAAGATGATTTATTGCTAATTAATTAACCTAACATTAGAAAAAAAACATTCTTTTAATATTAATATAGTGATTACATCAATGATGATAAAATATAAGCTGATTTAACTATTTTGTAGTGTTCTATACCAAAGGTGTAACCAATATCATTTTAAATCTCTGAAATCTTGTCTGTAATTTAGATTTAAAACTGATGAATAATAATAAAATTATTAATTATTCTGACAAATGTCTTAACTAAAATATAATATTGATACTTCTTCACTTGGCAATTTGCTCTTTTGTACATAACACTTTGATACCTTACATTTTGTATGCCAAATTTGCATTTAACCAACATATAAACAGTTTTTTCATCTCAAGTAGTAGTGTTTTTTGTTAATTTGAATATTTTTTACAATGAATATGTAATAGTTTCCTACTTTTAAAAACTATAAAATCTTTCTCTTTTTTTTTTTTCCTAGGAACAAAACTCCCTTTATAATGTGCATCTCAATAGAGTTGCATGTAAGCATCTTTCAATTATTTAGACTTTTGTACAATTTTCAGGGATGCATTACTATATATTATATTAAAACAGAAAAGATTTTTATCTAATATCATTACTACTATATATTGAGCATTTTCAAACTTTTTTTGACTTTATGTGACTTTTTATCCACTCTTTTCCTATTGTTAATATAGATAATAATAATAATAATAAATAAGAATCTGATGAGCCAGTATTAACATACTATTTTTATTGAAGAGATTTACTTAGCAGACAAATTTACATCATCCCAAACTGTCATATATATAACCTATTGGACTAATAATTGTTAATGAATTGTTTTTAATCAGCAACCAATAACTAGTAAGGTGTCTACCATACTAGTTTTTGACCTTATTGACCGTTTAGAGGACTCTGCTTTATTTGAAGATCTTTATGAATTTGAAATTAGGATATTTTTATCAAATAAATTAAATTGTGGAATTAGAAAAAGAAAGTGTCAGTTGTTTTTATTAAAGGAATAAATATTTTTGTTTAACTATAGGTGATATTTACAATCTGTTGTTTGTCTCGCTCTATCAGCTTTCTGTAAAGTCTTGAAAACATTGTTTTTTTTTTTTCAACCTTATTTTTCATTAGCACAAGTTCAACAGCAAAAGCCATTAACAATGAAAAGCTTCCTTAAAGCAACATTTGTAGATTGTTGAAATTGCTGAAAGGAGGACCAGAATAATTTTGTGATTTAAAAAAATGGCAGAAAAAATTTCTCAAAATTGACAATTTCAAGCTATAAAGTGTACAAAGGTGAAATAGGGGTTGCAAATAATGTTGCTGGAATGTGTGTTTATGCTTTGTAGCTTTTTGTAAAATGCTGCCCTTCAAAAAACAAAAAAGCTTCTTATAGTGATTACTTCTTATATATTATTCAAAATGACATCTGATTTGATAAAAAAAAATATTTCTGTGAAAAGCAGATGATCCTAAAATTTTACTTTTCCGGCTGTTATATATAATGGAAAAAGTAGGACAATCAGTCAAAAAAATGATCCCTGCCAGATTTTTATATATTTGGTGAGAGCTGAATCCTGTATTAAAATGGTATTTTATATTAACTATACTGTTTTAGCTATATGTATCAGTTTCTATAGTATAGTAGCTATTAGTGATGTGTCGGATCGTTAAAAATGTATATCCGCGGATACGGATACAGATGCGGATCATTAGTATCTAGATCCGCGGATATGGATACGGATCTCAACTTTTGTACTCAGTCGGCGCTGGTGTGTGTGACCTTAGACCTATAGTTGACGCTTTGCGTTAGTAACACGACGTGTTTTGACTTGCACTGTGCATGATTTTTGCTTATAGTTTAGTGTGACACGGAATAGTGTAGATTACATTTGTATTTTTGGAGAGTGTTGAGTTGAGTTAAAATAAAAACAATGTTGACAAAAAAGTTTAGTAGTGTAATATGGAAATATTTTACGATAGTAAATGAATTTTGCATGATAAAATTTTTGCAATGTGAATGTGTCAAATATGTGATTTTAAGAAATAAAAAGTGATTTGAATTGAAGTTATTAGTATTTTATTGCTACCTATCTTTAAAATTTCATATAAGTAATGAAATTCATTAAGATAAAAAGATCTGTTAAAGATCTGCTAAAAAGTAATGGATACGGATATCCGGCACATCACTAGTAGCTATTATTGCTTCGTAGTAAAATATCACTGTTACTTTATGTAGCTGGCCATAAAGTACCAATAAACATTTGTGTAACTCCTTACACTTTACAAATGTACTCTTAGCCTTTGGATACTTGTTCAAGGTTAAATTGCAAGTTATGTTTACAATTGTTATTTATATCACACTATATAATAGTCAGCAAACTTACAAAAGTATTGCATATGTTTAAGTAGTGACTATCAAGCTTATAAAAAGTTTTTGCGCACTGGAGTCACACTAAGAGTCTAGAAGAGCTGTTTGTGGCATGCTAGAGGCAGTTTGGCCACTGTGGATCTATTGTGATACTTTTCTGAATAAGTAATGAAGTCTCTCAGTATATATTCTTTCTAGTTGAATAATGGTTTTACTCATTGATTTTGAGTTCTGCTTTATGCTTAGTAAAATGTTCAGATAAATAAATTGTTTAACTTTTATACTCATCACAAAACGATTTAGCTACTCTATCAAAATCATTTTATTTTGATGGAGGGTTTTTTTTCTATGAATATA